CTCAAAGTTGATCCATGGAATAAACAAGAAAGCTAAGAAGCAAGGAGCAACGTAATAGGGAGAAGTGATTCCATCAACATTCCTCTCGATTCTGGCCCTATTACGTTTATTCCATGAATCAAGAAGCGCTTGGAAATTGAAATTGGCAACATTAGAGGCGTTGAGAAGCTTTGTAACGTGGTCGATTGATTCAACCTTCGCCTTGATCCTATTCGCACTATCTTCTTCTCGCGTTTGAGATTTCGATGCGGTATCGTCTAGACTCACTTAAATCTACATCTTCCACTCGGTGATGCTTGCTCGTCACAAACCCCCCCAATCACTCGTGTCGTCGTCATCATCATCATCCATTATCGTCAAGAGAAACCCCAGTTTATTTACATCCAGTGGGATTCGAATTAGGAATCAACGACGGTGTCGCCGGCTCCTCCGCCATTTTCAACAGATTACGGGTTCGATGGAGCAGACGACGACAAGAGAAGATGGGATTTTAGGGTTTTGGCCTGCAACATGTATCTCATTAAACAAGGGTATTTTGGTCAGTTTAGATATTTTTGAGGGGTATTTTTAAAAATGACCAACTGAAAGGGACATTATTAAAAAAGGGCATATGAAATAGGGCATTATTAACAATTTCTCAAAAAATAAACCTTTTTTGTTGAAATATTTCCGTAATTTATTTATACATCTGTAGATATGTAGAATAATTTTTGTTTTGTTGAATAAACAAACAAAAAAATTTGGCTGACACAAGAATCAAACACAGGTTATGACCATCGCTGGGATGTAAACTACAAGAAAATATGGGTATACTCATTTGTAGCGACCAAATTGCGACTAATTTACGACCACCTTTCGACTCACTTCAAGTAGTCGTTAATTTGTCGCTAAATAGCGACCAAAACCAATAGTCAGGCATGTAGTCGTCAAAAAGCGACTATGCGACGACTATTTTGTGGACAGGAGTGAATTATCGCCAAATTAGCGACTACAGTTCGACCAAATTTAATAGTCGCTATTTTGGCGACTAATTTGTGACTCATTCGTAAGCTAGTCACAAATTAGTCGTAGTTTATAGTTAGAAAACACATGTTTTTTGTTATGGGGTTGGTGTACCGGTTTTTGGCGACTACGGCATTTAGTCGCTAATTAGTCACCGTCAAAATGTATATATAAAGAAAATTCAACAACTCTCTTCATTCATGCCAAATAAAAATCGTTTGGAAAACAAAAATCAGAGAAAAAAAGAAAATTTTAGTTTTTATTATTCTCATAATGGCGGAAAATTACAATTATCGCGGTAATGGCTGTTTTTATCGGGAGTGGATGTACAAGAGGTTCTCGATTAAGTGACGGGAAATTTTACGGCAGAATTCAAAGCAAGGGTTGAAGAATTCATGACGTTTGCTAATAGTCAGCCCATAGAACAGAGTAATCGGGGTAAATTTCATTATCCTTGTAGTGTGTGCAAGAACAAAAAACATATCGTCTCCGGTAGAAGAGTTATGAGTCATTTGTTTAGTCAAGGATTTATGCCAGATTATTATGTTTCGTATAAGCATGGAGAAGAAATCAATATGGATATAGGAACGAGTTATGATGATAGGACGTATCTAAGTGAGAATCATGAAGACGTGGGTAATGTTGTAGAAGATCCACATGTGGGTATGGTGAACGATGCATTTAACGTGGGATTTGATTATAACTATCATTAGGATGGTAGTTATCAGAATATGGAAGAACCGGTACGTAATCATTCAAAGAAATTGACTTGTTAGAAGGTGCAAAAAATCCATTATACAATGGTTGTCGTGAAGGTCAGTCGCACTTATCCTTAGATGCTCGAGTCATACAAAATAAGGTGTGTGGATTCGAGCAGCTAAGGATAACTACGACCGACCTTCACGACAACCATCGTATAATGAATTTTTTTGCACCTTCTAACAAGTCGTAGAATTTATTTGAATGGTTACGTACTGGTTCTTCCACATTCTGATAATTACCATCATGAGTATAGTTATAATCAAACCCCACGTTAAAAGTATCGTTCACCATATCCACATATGGATCTTCTACAACATTACCCACGTCTTCATGATTCTCACTTAGATACGTCCTATCATCATAACTCGTTCCTATATCCATATTGATTTCTTCTCCATGCTTATACCAAACATAATAATTTGGCATAAATCTTTGACTAAACAAATGACAAATAACTCTTCTACCAGAGACGATATGTTTTTCGTTCTTGCACACACTACAAAGACTGTGAAATTTACCTCGATTACTCTGTACTATAGGCTGGCTATTAGCAAACGTCATGAATTCTTCAACCTGCTTCGAATTCTGCCGTAAAATTTCCTGTCACTTCATCGAGAACCTCTTATACATCAACTCCGGATAAAAACAGTCATAACCGCCATAATTGTAATTTTCTGCCATTATAAGAATAATAAAAACTAAAAAATTTCATTTTTTCTTTGATTCTTTTTTTTCCCAAACGTTTTTTTTTTCCAAACGTTTTGTGTTTGACATGAATGAAGAGAATTGTTGAATTTTCTTTATATAGATATTTTGACGGTGACTAATTAGCGACTAAACACCGTAGTCGCCAAAAACCGGTACACCTACCCCAAAACGAAAAACACGTGTTTTCTAACTATAAACTACGACTAATTTGTGACTAGCTTACGACACGCCGAATGAGTCGCAAATTAGTCACCAAACTAGCGACTATTAACTTTGGTCGGAACTATAGTCACTATGTTGGCGACTAATTGGCGACAACCCACTTCCGTCCACAAAATAGTCGTTGCATGTCGCTTTTTGACGACTACATGCCTGACTATTGGTTTTGGTCGCTATTTAGCGACAAATTAACGACTACTTAATGTGAGTCATAAAGTAGTCGTAAATTAGTCACCATTTGGTCGCTATAAATGGCGACTATATACATAGTCGTGGGATGAATTAAAATCAATATAAAGTTTATAATATTATGAACATATTAAAAAAAATAGCACGGGACGGATTATATTGCGAGAAGGGTTATATGGCAGGTCGGGTTTGAATTAACATTAATAATAAATTTAAATATCATTAACTCGCCGCTTCAATACGGGTTAAATCCTCATTTTATTATTTTTAACACCACGATTATTAGACATATCGAATCAACCTGATTTAAATAAGATTGTATAAAACAAAAATTATTTCGTGGTATAACGCTATTTAATAATAATTGTGAACTATAAAAATATAAATTCCTTATAAAATGATACTATTTGTAAATTTTTTATATAATACATAATCACTAAATTTTAAAAATCATTACTTTTCGTAAATAAATCGTCCCGCAGGTTAAAATCTAGTTTTTAAGTAGAATGTAATGCAGACATAATGAGAAGGTAACCTCATTACATGGTGGTGATTTGGCTCTAATTTTTACTTTGGTCATTTATATTAAAGAATATATATATATGTATGTTTGTGGTGTCAAAAGAAATCAACTTAGCACGGTTGGTAATGTATATATCGATTGTACGAAAGACCAAGGAGTTCAAATATTATTTTTTAATAAAATGACGCCGTTTTGTGTAGTTTAACATATAATCTCATTGTAAATTTATCTCCGTTAATAAATTTATCGATGTGATTTATTTAGTAAAATTAAGAAAAAATAGAGATTAAAATATAAAAAAAATCAACAAAATTTAGAGATTATAATGAAAAAATTAATATAAGTTAGCTAATTATTTTATCAAAAACAAAGTTAGAGCTTTTGGCATTTTTGACAGTTGAGGACTTTTTGACATTTTCTCATACATTGGACTTAAATTAGACATGTCAATTAGGGCCAAAGCCCGCAGGCTAGCCCGGCCTAGCCCTGAAAAATAGCTGGCTCGGGCTTCAAAATATATGTCCACAAAAAATCGGGTCTTTCGGGCTAAGCCCTTTAAAAAACATTTTGACATATTTTTGTTAATATTTTCGTTTAGTTGTAAGATTTGTTGTAAAAAAAATTTTTAGTAGAGTTGAAAACCCTAAACTTATTTTTTTTGTTGTGTATTACTATAAATCGAAAAAGCAAATATTAGCTCTACTACCTAATTTGAATTATTTTGATTTTATATTTTATCTAGTATAAGTTTAAATAATTTATTTGGATTATTTATTTGATTTTAACTCTCTTTTTAAAAAATTAAATTAGCGTTAGTGGTTTTTTTTTTTTGACGTCTGAATTTATTATTTATTGCAAATTGTGAGAACTGTTACATAGACGATTCTACAACAGACAATTCCTTCCGACCCTTATTAGATCCACGACAGACGACACTTCCAACTTCATGCTCTTGACGGACATCTTCAATGATCCACGACCTGACGACACTTCTCTCTCTGCGTAGAATCCTGGCGAACGGCTATAATTGTACATCGCTGGAGATCTCCTGCACACTTGCTTCCATTAATTTGCAAATTTATTAATAAATCGCAGTACCTGGGACTCGAACCCCAGACCTCTTGGTGTAGAAGCATTAATTAACCCTTGATCAACCAATAGGCCAAGGGGGCTTCCACCTAGCGTTAGTGGTTATTTAAATTTTGATTGACTCGTTTCATATATAGATTTTTTTTTAAGAGATATTAGAAATTATAAGTTTGTTTTTTTGTTGTCGGAAGAAAAACCCAAAAAAGCCCGAAAAAGCCTTGTAACCATGTTAGGGCCGGGCCGAGCTTTAAAATATAGGCTCGAAATTTTTACGGGCCGAGCCGGGCCTGGCTCAAATATATACGGGTTTTGCGGGCTTCGGGCCGGGCCGAGCTAGCCCAATTGACATGGCTAACTTAAATATTGATTGAAAAAGACAAGAAAATGGGACTTCAATAAAAACGTTAATTGCAAAACGTACCCATGATGTCTTTTTCTTGGCATAAAGTACCATAAAGTCTTATTTGTTACAAAATTAACCCCTCTAGTTATTTCGAATAAATATCTTTCTTATAAATTTGACCAAACCCTTAAGATCTAATTTTCTCTGTTTGATTTTTCCTCCCAACAATGGCGGCTTCATCATCTTCTTCCTCTGACGTCTCCTCTGACTCTTCAGACTCTCATCGTCGCCGTAAGGATTGCCGTCGTCACCGTAGAAACGATCGAGACAGAGACTCGCTCAAAGTACGGAAGAAGAGCCGATCCACCTCGAAAAAACGCCGTAGACGCCAGCACTCCTCCGATTCCTCCGATTCTTCTTACTCCGATTCATCCAGGTCCGTTGATTTCTTATCAACTTCTCTCACCGATTGAAAACCCTAATTTTCCCGTTTGGTTTCATTTCTGGATCGGAGACCTTGATTTTACATTTTGAATTGTTCGTCGATGTTAGGGTTTAGGGTTTGGTTTGATGGAAACTATATGAGAATATCGTTAATGGAGCTTTATAGATTCATTGAAACAGAAACTAGTTTGATTTCATTTTTGAATCGGAGCATTTGGTTTGACAATTTGAGTTTGTTCGTCAATGTTAGGGTTTAGGGTTTCGTTTGATGGAGAATATCGTTAATTGAACTCTTTAGGTTGATATAAACAGAAATTAGAGAAAACAAAGAGTAATATTTGTGTTTTTGTCGCAGTGAGAGCTCAGATAGTGAGCACGAGAGGTCACGAAGGCACAAGAAGCATGAAAAGCCAAAGAAGGTTACTTTGTTTGATCAATTCTTAATCATGTGATGTCTCTCTCTTATGGTGTTCAGCTTATAAGTATCAATTTTTTTGTTTACAGGCTAAGGATAAGGAACGAAGCAAGAGTCATCGTCATAAACGGCATAAGAATAGAGATAGAAAGGTGAGCCATTGTTTCTTGTTATGCCTTAGATAAATTTTCAACAAGATAACAAGTTACTTATAATACTTCTTTTGCCTTTCTTTGTGGCCTCTTCGAACTTGGAGCTGGGGTTGGTGAAATGATAAACTGGGGACATTTTGTTTTCTTCGGTTTGTTTGTTTTTTTCTTTTTGGTCCTGGCAATGTGAGTGTTGTATAGAAAGGGGAAGGAGAAGGAAGCAGCGGGCCTGTTAAACTATCAAAGGTACTAAAGCGATATACCCATAAAGATCTTAAGTTTATATGAAGTCCATGTTTTTTGGCTAAACCGTTACTATGTTCTTTCTGATTCAGTTGTTGAACCGTGACAAAGAGGATGGTGAGCGTAGAAGTGCTGTTTCAGGGAAAAAAGTCAGTCTAAAACTCTCTTTTGGGTTGTCTATCACTCCCTTCACAATAAATTGATGTTCTTTTCTCACTTCTTCTGTGTGTTTGGCTACAGATTCTGCTGAAGGTTGACAAGTCCAAAGAGGACAAAGCTGCAGAGAGCAAAAGAAATGAACTACTTAAGTTCTTAAACGCAAGTTTTGACTAGTATTTTTCGCTTTTGTCTCCATGACAGGATCTCAAGAACAACAAGAATGTAAGATGCTATCTGATTAGATTCTAGTTTGCGTATCCGTTTGGTGATTCGGATGCTTGTTTTGTTTATCCAGAGGACTAAGCCTGTCATGGATTTGAGTTGTTATTATAGCCATTTGAACTTATATTTTGACTTCTATTCTCTTGTTTGGTCTTAAAACTTTGTGTTATCGCACACTGTTCTTCTTGGAAACCCGAGAAATGGTTACTGAGATTTTATCGGTGCGTACATCAAACCAGTTCCAACTTCTAAGTTCCATACTGGAACTTTCGAGCCATCTCCGGTTACCATGGAGTTGTGTTCCAATGTTGTTGGAGTACATACACTTGTGCTAAGAAGCCTTAGATCATCCCTATTTGACATGTTTCATGATCATGGAAATACTATTTTGCAAGAACCTAATTTTCGCATATGTGAAGAGTTTTAGAATATGTAGAGAGATTTTTGCCCAAAAAAAAAAAAAAAGAGTATGTAGAGAGATTTTGGTGTCAGGTGGTCCAACAAGATATCTTATTATCATTCAAAACCTCAAAATATGAATTGTGTTTGGCTATTAATCATCAGATTCACAATAAGAGTTTTGAGTTTTTTTATTGTCATTGCATGGGTAATCATCCGTAATGGTTGTTTTTTTAGGAATGCGTTGAAATGAATAGTTCTACAATTTTTATAGCGATAAAGATTTGTATAAATAAAAATTGAGTAAACACGAATCTTTGAAGAATGAAAATCAACGTATCGCCGTGGAAAAAAACTCTCTTATTGGACTGCCAATGTGCTTATGTCGTAGATCAGGACTTGCCGTAACACTGATCTAACATTGGTAACCTGGCTACGACAAGTTCTTAATATCAATCAAAATAATAAATTGATTGATACAAAACGGCATGTATCTTTGTAAGTACCTATTAGCTTTTTGAAGTAATGGAATGAAATTGTTTATAAATAATAGAACAATGCAATCCAAACCGAATTCTAGACAAGTCTCAAAGAGGCTAGTAGTAGTAAGATTAAAAGACAAAGCAAAATATCCAATAGTCTTAAGAAGAGAAACAGAACTTAAAACAATGTCTGGAACAGGGCAAAGAGGAACCAGTGTTCCCTACCAAAACTTCGATACTGAAACCAAGCAAAACGAAACACAACAAAGTTATCTTAGACCTTGAATCCACGACTCTTTCGCTTTCCTCTAGCTTTCTCAAACTTCCTTCCCTTATGCCTAACATATGGCTTAGTGCTACTGTGTGGCACACCAGGAGCAGGTCCAAAATGCTTCACTGCTTCACGAGAGTTCTTTGGTCCTCTAAGGAGAACCTGTCACACATCAAACACAGCTCAGTCTCATATATATTAAACTTGAATATCCCAAGTATTCAGATCAAACACCCATGTAAAATCTACTTACTGTGTTCTGGCCCAATGGAGCTTTGAGTGCAAGCTGGTCAAAGGTTAAGCACTCTCCCCCAGCTTTCTCAATTCTAGCTCTAGCCCTCTCTGTGAACCTCAAGGCAGTAACTTTAATGGCAGGAATCTCATGAACTCTCAAATCATCAGTGATGGTTCCAACCAACACAGCAATCTTGTCCTCCTAAAGAAGATAAAAACCACAACATTTCAGTACTAACAATCAGAAACAAAATCTATATCAGACCATATTCTCACATACTTACATAACAGGACAATGTCAAAACTTATAACTTAACCAAATGAAAATAAAACTACATGAAATGGGGTTCTAGATTAATTGACCAAGGACAGACTTTAAATGTATATAAAGAGAGAGAGTTTCAAAAGATCGAACCTTGCCCGTCATGAACTCCACAAGCCTAGAGAGTGAAAGAGGAGCTTTGTTGACTTTGCTCATGAAAAGCCTCTTTAGAATCACAGCATTGAACTTGCTTTCAGATCTCCTCACCAAAAACCGGTAAAGCTTCAAAATTTATCAAAAAAACGACCAAATCTCAAAACCAAATGTAACAGACAGAGAAACATAACTATGTAATAGACCTGTCAATGTTTTGTTACCTTGACGAGAAGCTTGAGGTAAACATCATCGGACTTTGGAGCAGTCCTTTTTGTCTTCTTACTCTTACCTCCGGCGATAAGATCGATACCCTACAACAACAACGACAAGACCAAATAAGCAATCCATAACCTAATGAAGAAATACAGATACCACACTCCAAATCTACAAAATCTAGATTCCACTATCGAAACGAAGAAACCTAAGGAACCATTATACGCTAAACCAATAGATCAAGCTCGCAAACGGAGAATTCATTTGTTAAAACATAGGAGGCGGAGATCAAGAATTACCATGGCTGCGTCTGCGAGAGGAAAATGAAGTTAGGGTTTATGAATTTATAGGAGCAACAAGCAAGCTCGCTTACAATTTAGGTTTTTATGGCTTTATCTCGGCTTTAGGCTCTTTGGGCCCAAAATTACAAGCCCATTTCTTAAACATCGTTCGGCTCGGGAGAACCTATCTATATATACATCTATATATACATTTTTTTAGCACAATTAGCAAATAAATCCTGGAGTTGGGAAGTATTTACAACTTATGCCATTGGCATTTATTATTAAGTTACAAAATTTAAATAAAATATATTAACCAAACGATATCTTGCCTAATTTGTTTCTAAAAATCTCTACACAATCTTTCCATATATCTTCAAAAATATTTTCCTGAATTTTACTCTACAAAATATGCATAAATCCGATTTATAACAAATATTTATATTAAAATTTTGCATAGTAATAAAAATACTAATTTATAATAATCAAAATATTCACATAGAAAAATCATATACACATACATGAAAAAAAACTATATATATCATCATTTAAGCCGTTGCTTTATTTAAATAAAAAAAATAACACAAAAAGTAGAAATCATATACTTTATATGATAAATTTAAAATATATATTAGTAGTATAAATTTAAAATCATTCAAGAACGGTATACCACGGGTGAGATCCTAAAATTATTAGATTTTATAATAATAAGAATTTATTTTCTTGGATTTTATAACACTAATAATTTAGCTAATGGAATAATATAGATGGGTTTATATGGGATGACGGGTTTAGATCGATATTAATAAAGAACAGTTTATTACGGATGAAATCCTAAAATTAACAATCAAAATACAATTATACAACATTAAACACAAAACAAAATATACAATATTAACAAAACAAATATAACTTGAAATTTAAAAAAATTAGTTATAAAAAAATCGACCCGCGGTATACTGCGGAGTAAAATATTCAAAATTTTAAAATCTACCATACATCGTTACTTAAAAAAATGTATGTTTTCGAATCTATACTTCAAAAATTGAAACCTAAACAATAGTAATCATACACTAAATAATATATAGATAAATATCTACATTTAAAAATACAAATTAATATGATATATTTTCAGTTAATCTTTAAAAAAATAACATTACATTTAAAAAAAATATATATAGCCCCGCGGTGTACCGCGGGTTAAATTCTAGTTTTATATACATTTTTGGATGACAATTAGTAAAAAAATCCTGAAGTTGAGAAGTATTTACAATGGCATGCCATTAGCATTAATTATTTAGATTTATTTTATTTAAGTAAAGATTTTTAAATGAAATTCATTTCTCATATATTTAGCAAAAGTTTCTACAAAATCTTTCCTTATCTATTTAAATAAAGATTTTGAAATCAAATATGTTCTCAACAATTTACCAAAAATCTCTACACAATCTTTTTAAAAATCTCGACTTAGTTAACTTCTGATTTTTATCTGCAAAAAAAAAAAATTAATAGCAATGAGTGATGTAAAAATCGGGAATGTTGATATTACAATTTCTTCTACTTCTTTTTTTTTCATATAATAAAAATTATTTTTAGGGATACTTTCTCAAAACCTCTAAATAAAACAAAAGGTTTCAAAAGATAGCTTCTCTTTCAAAACACGCAAACCCGCAACTCTCTACGGGCTTATCCGCATGAACCTGCGACCCGTAGTGGATAAAAATATTATTCAAAAAAAATAACAAATGATGTTTAATTTTACGGGACGGGGTTATATGGTGCAACGGGTTTAGATCGATATTAATATTAAACAATATATTATGGATAAAATCTTAGAATTAAAAATCAAAATTTAATTATAAAATCAGAAACACTAAACAAAATAAACAATATTAACAAAACAAATACAACTTAAAATTTTGCAAAATAATTTTTTAGTTGTAAAAAATCGACCCGCGGTGTACCGCGGGGTAAAATCTAGATTTGGAAGTTTAAGGAAGAAAAATCTTTTTTTTAAAATAATAGCTCCGCGGTGTACCGCAAGAAAAATCTTTCTCTTAAACTGAGGCAAGAAGAAGAAGAAAGCCAAATGTTGTTTAAGTGTATATAACTATATATAGATATACCATTTAAACCTAAAACACAATTAATATACTCAAAACTATTAATATAGATATATGGATGGTACATTTATAAAATAGGTCGAAATATTATATTATACTCTCTATTAATAAACAAAACTAATTATATTTAGATTTTTTAAAAAAAAATTATAGCCCCGCGGTGTACCGCGGGTTCAAATCTAGTTTTAAAATTAAAATTCAGTATGATTTTATGATTAATAAAACATATTTATGTCAAACAATGTTGCTTACCAAAAAAAAACAATGTTGCTTACCAAAAAAAAAAAATGTTGGTGTTGGATCCCGAAAACGAGGATCTTCGACCCGGGAAACATTCGCACTTCGTTAAAGTGCAATTTGCTAGATACATCGTCAAAATCAGAAGTCTCGGATTAGATAAGAATAAGGGAAACGACCCGATCGCAAAGCCGAAGTTAAAAAGAAAATGAAGTAAATTAGGTCAAAGAAGATAGAATTAAAGGTTTAAACCCCAAACTTTCCTATTTATTTATAATTTATAGTTGTCCAGATCCACAAATAATAATAACAATAATCTATTTGTAATTTTTGTTTTTTCTTTATTAAAGATACACTATTTTAAAATATATTTACATAAAGAATTACTTTTCAAAAACAATTACGAAAACTTTCAAATTTATAAACATAAGCATATATCTCTCAAACATACAAAAAAAAAAAAAAAAAACTAGTCTGTGATAACAAAAAAATACTCTACATTTGTGAGTCTATGAATTCAGTAGAGTTATTTTTCCACTTCTGTTTTATCAGTCAGAAACTAAGATAATTAATTAAAAATGATGAATTATTAGAGTACACGTGTAATAAAAAATAGCAAACCTAATTTAGTAAGCATTTACTCAAAAAATGTCGAATAATATTCTTGCCTTGATTAAGATTTTCTTGTAATGCAGCATCCTTAAAACTTTCTACAAAACTTATGATCTTGTTTGTTAGTTGGAATGGACTAAAAGATGATGTTCAAGGATATAATAAAAAGGTGTAATCGTTTCAACGTGACATAATATATATGTTTTTACTTCCACAAATTGTATTTTTCTTTTACAATTATGTATATATACAATTTGACCACATACAAATTATTAATAGTTATTGATTGATTTTTTCTGTGTTGATTTTAGGTTTGGATTAATTGTTTAAATGATATAGAAGATTCTATATTTTTTCGGCAAAAGTTATATATATATATATATATATATATATATATATATATATAATATAATGCTTTAGTTGCTTCATTGTCTTTAGAGTTTTATGATTTGATTTGTCATTGCACTTGTGAATATTTTGTTTGGTTTGTGATGATTGTAGTTGTTGTTTTAAAAAAATGGATAATATGTTACAAATGTGAGTGATAAAAACAATTTGAATGATCAAAATATGGTTTATGTAATTGAAGAATGTGGTCTTCTAGAAAGTACAAATAAACGACATATATAATTTTCTATGTAAAGTTTCTAAGCGTTGGAAAAACTTTACAAAAATAAGAGAAAGATAATTCGATGATAAAAATAATATTAGATGCGTATTGTAAATGAAATTATTTATATGTATACATAGAAATAGAGTTCAACTTTTCTTCATCATATATATAAGAACTTTTACATAAAAACATCTCTTGAATTAAAACTCGAAACCGGATGTGTTAGTGTTTCAAGAAATGATAGCAATATCAATATAAGAATATAATCTTTTATATCCATTTGTTGAGTTAAAATGATTTGTTTATTGAGTAAAACACTTTTGTTTTCAAAATTAAGATATGTGAAGACCTACAACACGGTTCATGTGATTGTTAGAAAATCACAAAAAAATGATAAAATGTAAAACACTAGTATTTTAGTTTTCGTTTTTTAATGCATGAACTAATGCCATCCCCAAAAGATTATATCATGAACTAAGGTGGTGTTATTCAATGATGGATTTTAATAGAATTGAAATCCAACACTAATCCAGTGTTATTAACCTAATGATTCTAAATCTAACTCTAATAGATTTTAAAGTTTGGTGTTATTCAACTAAGATTTAAAATGCTTCATTAAAATCCAGTGTTATTCAAAACTAAAAGACTTGTAAAATCTTTGTATATCAAATCATTTGAAATGAAACATCTTTGGATTTCATGAGTAAATAATTAGAATCATAATCCTAGATATACTGCAGAGATTTTGAACTCCACACAAACAGATTGTTAAAAACAATATCAGAAATCAAATCTAAACCTTTAAGAATTGACTTTAACTCCATGAATGAATAACACCCCCTAAATGACTGGACTGTCGGATAGATTTAAGTTTATAAAATTTATAATTATTGTGGAAGTTATTTTTCTGTTGACAACAAAATCGGACATCGATGTTTCAGTATTGTTTAGATAGTACAAATTTAAAAATATTTCTTCAGCATAAATTATGAATATAAACATATGAAATGAGAAAAGTTCAAAAGCTAGCAAACACATCATCTCAAAAAGATGAGAAAGATAAAAAAAGGAATTGAAGTACAAACGATTTTGAGCGTTTTTCACCTATATTTTGCATTTCGTTCATCTAAATCTTCTACGCTTTTAAAAGATGTGATCATACATATAATGATTGATTTCCACAGACGAAACTCAAAGTCCATTACTAAATTTGAAAGAAAAACATAATCTAACAAAGGATATTGTTCAAGGGCTTGGTGTATATTCATAGCTACGCAAACCCCGTAAATAATACACCGTGATTGAAATATGAGCAATACCTTAGCAAAAATCCAAACACTTTAGAAAATAATAAGATAAAAACTGAAATGAACATAGGAGTTGAGAAACAACCAAAACAACAACATACTATTATTTCTAAAAGCTGAACACATTTATTTTGAGTAAGTTTTTAAAATTAAAAAGATATTGCTAATTTTAATTTGCATGTTTTTCTTATAAAGTGATTACATATTTGAAGGATATGTGATGCAAATTATATGTTTGAAATATTAAATATTTATTAGTTTTAAAATCATGGTACTTAAGATTATTACCCGAAAGATAAATTTATATTGTTGTAATTCATATTGTAACAAGGTAAAATTAACAAACTTTGAAAGAAATTATTTCTAGTAAAAAATACTTACAAAATTTACAAATGTTTTGATATTTTGTAACAATTTTAGAAGCATTGTAAATTTTTAACTTATAAATTGTAACTTCATTGATTAGTTATTAATGGAAGAAAAAATGTTCAAATGCATTCTATATTATTTTATTGTGCGTTTACGAATAGATTAACGATATATAAATTCAAAACTTGTTGTCTTAATGTTTGAAAGCATACAATCAAAAAAATTCAAACCATAGAGACCAAATTATTATTATGCAAGAATCATCTCCGATAAAACACATTCATCATCATCAATTGAACAATCTAATATTATAAACTATGTCGCTTTAATTTAAAAAAACTTTTAATTATGAAATATAAACTGTGCAACTTTATCACAATAATTCAATAATGGAAGAGTACAAGCAACAGAGTGGTAAACACATTTACAAAGTATATGTGTGTTAAAGAAATGAGATCTCAAAAGAATATTTGTTAAAGTTATTTGCGAAATAATTTTAATTAAAAATTCGTAAATATTCTAATTTTTCTTTAATAATAACTATAAATTTTTTATTTAATTATCAAAATCAAATACCAACAAACAAAGAGAACTACCAATAGTTGGTGGAAAATTTTTATATTTGTCTAATGTATGTTTTGACATTGAATATGTGATAATTCAACTTATGTATTGATTTATCAAAAATAAAATGAATGTATATATTACAGATATTTTGATATCTCAAGTTTATTCTCTAAATGATTTGTTGTTTAAAAAGAATGGTCACGTAAAAATAAGATATATGGATAATGAATGTTAATAAAAAATTTAACTAGTTGGTAAAATAAGAAACAAAACTTTGTTTCATGGAACGTGAAAGCAAAAATGTACACGTGAGTTTTTCTAGATTAAGAACTTACTATCTCAAATTGTTATGTGAGAAAAATATTTGGTATGGTACATAATAAACTAAGTACGTGGATGTTGACATCTATATTATCAAAAGATAATAAAATATAGACTAAGTTATTTTTTAACATCTTGCTTTACTTTATCAAAATTGAAACAAAGATTACATAGTTATTTCTTAGAGTCGATGCCACAAATTTGGAGTCGAAAAAGTTACTCATGCAAGATAATGTAACATGTAAATAGAATGAACATTTGAACGAATAAATGAATTTATAGCTGCGTGGAACAAATGTTATCGCTTGATGTTAAATCATGTAAGAGTTGTTGTTACAAATATGAAATATAAGCATGTGAAAGATAAGTTACCAAAAAAAAAAAGCATGTGAAAGGTTCAAGCAGAACTCAAAAGATTGCTTTGAAGAATTTTTTGTTGCTGTAATTTCCAAAAGTAAGTTGACTGTGAGTTTAATCTTGAAGTTTAAGACCGTATTGATAATACCATGAGTTGGTGATTAACATTTTTCCCCAAAACGGACTGAAAAAGAAGCAACCTCTTTGGTCGGTAATGACTTAAGTTACCTTCTTTTATATTTTACGATCGGGTGTAGTGATCTAATGCTATGAATATATTAGTCAAGTGAATTTCATGTGCTTCACCAATTTTAAATTTCATGTATATCTTTTTTCCTTTTGTTGTATAACTTTTGTTTCACCATTTTGCTTTTGACTAATATAAAAGTTAATATCTTTTGTATTTTGCTTCGCCATTTTTAAAACGACTATTATTGTATCGCATGTGCCAAAGAAGTCGTAAGAAGTGGTGACTACTCTTGGTCCTTTGCTCTGAAAATTTCCGCCTATTTTCGTTTACTCCCCGCTTAGTTGTTAGGTCCACTCTATCCAACTATCCGCCTCGATTAATAACTAATTCTTTGAAGAAATCAGTCACCCAATTAAGCTCTGTCTAATCTGATTACTCTCCACCTAATCTTTCTTACTCCGATTATTTTTATATTGCAAGTATAAAACACCTTTACTTTTTGTTATTCAGACATTTAAATTGAGAGTTTGTGATGTTTTACAATAACTTATGTTCAAAATTGTGATAAAAATCATAAAATTTTGTCGTAAAAATATATTTTTATTGTGTTTATAGTAATTTTGAAAATAATATTATTTAAAATTTTAATTATAATGGATTAATATATATTTAACACATTAAAATAACCTTAAAACTAGTTTTCGATTAACCTCTAATTTTTATCTAATTTTTTGATTAATCGCTAAACCCATACCGAATGTCCAACTAGCGCTAGCGACTTTTCGAACAAGAAGTCTTGGTTTTATGTACTGACCTCTTTCGTTGAAAAATTGGGTGTATTTTTCACTTTCTATTAATCAATGTTGATTTCTAAAATACTTTGAAAGTTTTGGATTTCATTTCAATTTCCTCATTTTATAATCATTTGTTCTTTTCTTATCTCCTTCCATATTGATCCACTTCCCTCCTCTGAATTTTAAGACAAAATAGATTTGTAAACTTCTGGGCTCTCTTCGTTTGACCCACATTTTCTCGGGAAAAATTCGTCTGATTTCTCCGATCGTCTCTTCATTGATCGGAAAACCAACCACGACCCATTATTCCTCGCCTGTTTCTGGCGCAAACCCTTGTATCAATTTTGGATTTTGGTGAGAAAAATTTAGGGATCTGAAGAAAAAGAACACGATGATGACGAGTATGGAAGGGATGGTGGAGAAAGGAGTATTGGATGATATTATAAGAAGATTGTTAGAAGGTAAAGGAGGCAAACAGGTTCAGCTTTCCGAGAGCGAGATTCGTCAACTCTGCTTTAACGCTCGTCAAATCTTCCTCTCTCAACCTAATCTTCTCGATCTCCATGCCCCAATTCGTATCTGTGGTAAAATCTCATGATCGAATTGAATACTTGTGTTTGAAATGGGAAAATTAGGGTTTCGACGTGAATTTGAGCATTTGTGTATTGTAATCTCACAGGTGAAATTGTAAAGTTAGGGTTTTTTTATTGTGTGGTAATGTTTTTTCTTTTTTGGGGATTCTCAGGTGATATCCATGGCCAGTATCAAGATCTTTTGAGGTTATTTGAATACGGAGGCTATCCTCCTTCAGCAAACTATCTATTCCTTGGTGATTACGTTGACAGAGGCAAGCAAAGTCTTGAGACCATATGTTTGCTTCTTGCTTACAAGATTCGGTATCCGTCGAAGATATATCTGTTGAGAGGGAACCATGAGGATGCTAAGATCAATAGGATTTACGGGTTTTATGACGAGTGCAAACGGAGATTTAATGTACGACTTTGGAAGGTATTTACTGATTGCTTCAACTGTTTACCCGTAGCTGCACTCATTGACGAGAAGATACTGTGTATGCACGGTGGGTTGTCACCAGATTTGGACAATTTGAATCAGATTCGAGAGATTCAACGGCCTACAGAGATTCCAGACAGTGGTCTTCTTTGTGATTTACTTTGGTCAGATCCTGATCAGAAGATTGAAGGATGGGCTGATAGTGATCGAGGTATCTCTTGCACTTTTGGAGCCGATAAAGTCGCTGAGTTCTTGGATAAGAATGATCTTGACCTCATTTGCCGAGGCCATCAGGTAAAACAAACAAGACCTCCACGAAATCAAAGATTCGAAAAATTGAAACCTGTGAAATTGTACTTTACTAAAAATATGACTTGAGATTAGCTTTTGTCCATAAAGCTAGAGACCTCATGAATTCTTACCATATTGCACATGTGTGATGGTTTTGTGTTGCAGGTAGTAGAAGACGGGTATGAGTTTTTCGCAAAACGGAGATTAGTCACGATATTCTCAGCTCCAAACTATGGTGGGGAGTTTGACAACGCTGGTGCATTATTGAGCGTGGACGAGTCTCTTGTTTGCTCCTTTGAGATTATGAAACCCGCCCCAGCTTCAAGCAGTCATCCTCTCAAGAAGGTTCATTTCTACCACAGATATATAGATTTAAGCCCATCTTATTACACGATTCTTCAGCTAGAACAAACTGAAACTTGAAACTTTCTGAAAAGGATAATAAACCTTATTGGACTTTTGCAACAGAACCGTTAGTCCATAGGTTTTAATGTGAGAACTTTGTATGGAATTCAAAGTCCACATTCTTAAGCAGTGGGAGCATTATTGCAATTTTGTTAGGCCACAAAGAGTTACGTTCCTTCTCGCATGTTTCCGCAAACTTTTAACACCTATTTTCTCTACATTTCTCTTTATCAGGTACCGAAAATGGGGAAGTCTTGAATTTCTAGTTCTCTCTCTCTCTCTGAAGATAACGGTTCCACTTCCACAGCTCAAGCTAGGCAAAAGATTCAGACTGTCTTTACAACTGTGTCTGTGTCTCCAGTTATGTGTTGAATGCAATGAAGAACCCAAAGGGTACTTAGTCTGTAAAAAACCAAAAAAGTGAGAAAACAAAAAAACACTTCGTTTTCTTTGTATAGATGCAGAATGATCTGTCTTCTGCTTCTGGGGATTTTATCTCCTTATTAGTCTCTTTTCTCTCTTCTTTTAGCCCTTTTAGTTTAATTCATAGTGCCACTTTAGATTTTATTTCTTGGTTATTTTTTTTCCTTGTTGTACAAACCCTTTTGCATTTCTTCATTTTCATTTGTAATCTGTTGCCAAGGTTTTATTTACTTGTCTCTAATTTTATCAGTATAAAAAGACAGAACAATACAACACAGTTCTTGTCGCATTTGGCAAAATTTCCACTTGAGACAAGCCTTTACTTTTGGTAACAGTTAATTCATGGTCTTTTACAAACTACTGCTTTAAAATATCATTCGATAAGCTTAATCAGAGCTTGTTCTTCTATTTATAGCTGCACTGTATGAATTCCCATTCCCGTTCCCTCCCAATCTTCTAGAGGTCCTCTGAATCTCAGCTAGCCGCTGCTTCTGATTACGGTTATTAGATTGCCTGCAGTACCTAAAGCAAGTGTTAATATGGTGAAGTGTCACTTAGAGGTTTACTTAAAGAGAGAGGAGAGAAGAGAGAGGAGAGAAGAGAGAAAGGTGAGACCTGATCAAGAACATTCCTGCTACAAGAAACGACATTCCCAAAGAAATCTTTTGAATCGTTGTCATTTCACGAACCCATTGGAGAAGATCTTTAAAACATGACAAAGTCTCAGTCTTTAAAGGCGTCTCCTTTCGAGAGTCTCTTGACCATGATTCCACTACTGATTCTAGACTTGCTTTGCTTCCGTAGCATGGTTTTTCTCTAGAATCATGATTTGTTTGAACAGCAAAACCAGCTGCTTCACAGAATGCTGTGCCATTGGATTCCCAATTTGAGGCCTTAACGCAGACGATGTCGTCGTTTACTCCGCAAGGGCCAATCACCTAAGCAGATACTGAAACCATTAGCTTCCAAAAATCTACAGAAGAAAAAGTCCTACCATTTGTATATAACAATCTTCCAAACACTGAGAAGTTTCTTACCCGTGTAAGTGCATTACTGGCAAAGTATGCATCTTTGCAGGCTTCAAAGACTCTGTCACAAAACGAGGCGCAAATACGAGGAGGACCTGGTTGAATTCCAACATTTGGGTTACAGATTGAACACTCCAATAACTCAAACAACTCCAAGCACTCTTGACTAGCTTCTCCATAAGTAGCCAAGTTTCTGACAGCTACGAAAGCCGGGTTTGTCTGAACAGCAGTACAACAAGTCCTTTTACGAAACACCCGGCACAGAGTAAGATCCTTGGATCCTCTACCAACAGATTTAGGAGGCTTTCCTTCTGATTCATAAGGCGGAAACCGCCCTCCTTTAGAAACACATACTCCTTTCAAATCTGGTTTCACTGCACCTGAAAACATTGTTCTACAACCATTCTTAAGCAAGTACAACCCCCAAAACCAGGCACTTCACTCAAATTGAACAGTTCTTAATAAGTTTCTATTGCACATTTTTCATCTCTTTTCATGATAGAACAATCCCAGAATGAACCAACAATTCAATTTCTAATCAATTTTCTTTGCATCAAACGAGTCAAGATTATCCAAATGACAAAAACATTACGAAAGATTGAAACTTTCGATTACAAAAATCAATATCTTCGGTACCCATTTCTAAAATCTAACCAACAGATCAAATGGAAATGTGACAACAAAAGAAGAACCCTGAGATTTAATACTAACCGGACGATAAGGAGATCAGGAGATGAAGAAACAAAATCGGACTCTGAATCAAAAACACCCTCTTCGTTGAACATCTTCCCATCTTTCTCTTCACTGATCTTAGCTTAAAGCAAAAACAGACAAAAGACAAAGACGAGTACTCGTGACTAAAGGTTCAACATTTACAAGTCTTGCCCGAGAGGAAGAGTATTACGGGTCGACCCGAATACCCAATTTCACAGACTCCGTCAAATTTGGTTTTAGAACAAAAGAATCTCTCTTTTATCGTCACTCTGGGACCCGTTGGAATAATCTTATGAAGAAAACACCATTAGTCACATAATAATTAAATTTATATAATCTATTTTACTTCAATATAGTCAAAGCTTATAACATTCATTATATTGTGAACTTTTTTTCCTCCTTAAGAAGAGATATGGATTAAAAAGCAAGGCTTTAAATGTGTCACCAATAATCTGTCCGATTAACCGGAAAAAGAAACGACAATGTTGACAGTTAACAAGATGAAATTGATTCGGATGATTGAATAATCTTCAAAGCAACTTCACGCCAGCTTCTCTTACAGAATCGATAACAGCCTTGACTTTACCATGATACCTCTGTTCTCTCTTCATCTGAATAGTAACAGCGGGAATATCTTTCATCAAGAGTCTTTCTCCAAGAATTTTACCAATCTTTGCAGCAGCAGCAACGTCGCGCGTGATGTCCATGGTTTCCCTCAATGCTTTCTCCTGTGAGCTCGCTGAGCAAGCCACTGTAGCTGTTGGTGAGTGGATGACTTGTGCGTGAACAAACTTGTTTGTGAAATGCATTTTCAGCACGTAAGGTTTGAGGTAGTCGAAGAGACGTGGTGGTCTCACTGCCGGTGGAATCACCATCTGAGAAACAAAGCATAAAACACTTTAACAGAGAATCTAATCAAACATTGTAAAGGGAACTGAGAAAAAACTCTCAACTTTCACTACACATCAATAGCCCATGACCAAGATTCAAACTTTGAATCCGTAAATGATGTAATCGGAATTGAATTACGTTGAATACAGAAAGATCACATAAGTAGAGACAACTCCAATGAATAATATAACATAATATCAAACAATGACCACCCTATCTAAAGCCAAATCTTTGCCAGTACAATAATGTGACACTCCTGGTTTGCTAAAACCCGTCTCTTTGTTGAACCAAAACCAAACCTATAAAAATCAAGATTCTAATCAAACCAAACAGCATTTGACTTCTTTCAGACATTTCATCAAACACTTGGTGGACATCAATTTGTGCTTAAACCACAAACATATACTCAAATATCAGAGTATCTGCATTTCAAGCTAGAATGGATTCTATCTAATTTCGTCAATTAATTTCCATGAAAACAAAGATTAAACTAAGTAAAGAAGATAAACTAAAATCTCTTAATTTTCATCTCTCAACGGATTAAATACAAAAGTTTGATAACAAGAAAAACTCATTCTGTGGTACCTGAAGCTGCCGAGGAAAATCTTGGAAGATGGAAACTGTATGAAGCGATCTCTTGATCTTTGAAAGAGAGAAGAAGAAGAAGAAGATGCGTTTAGGGTTTTTTTTTTTTGGCTTTGTGATTCAGGTCAATTTCTGGTAATAATGAATAACAGAAGTGGCCTTGATTTATTTGTTTATTCGAAATAAACCCCTAAGAGTTTCAGATTTTTTGAAAAACCCACCAAATACATTTGTTAATGACTTAATGGGTAAGTTTGAAAATTTAATGGGCCGACAAAGCCGAAATTAGGCATGACCCAACATTGAATCTTGAAGAACAAATTCAATTTATTTTGTATGAAAGCTAACGGACATTTTTTTTTTTTTTGGATCAAAGCTAACGGACAATTTTAAAAGTGCGTTTTTCAACCTAAACAAACGATGAGTGCTAATTTATATCTAAACGTTTAAAAATTTCAAATAACCTACCTGAACTTTTGATGAAGTGCGTACGAATCAATGTTAACAGATGTTAGTCAACTGTAACGGTTGTTGACTCAGCTGCCACATATATATCGACGTGGCATGTTTTTCAAGTAAAACGACGTCGTTTTATGTTTTTAGATTCAAAATTTTTTAAAAATTTGAAAAACCGAGATTCAAACTTGTGAACCCTTTACATTTTTAACCCAGTCATTGCCACATTTTTTACAATTTATTTTGGTACCAATTCAAGTCTAACTATTTATATACATAAATAAATCGCGGGATTGGATTTAATAAAACGACTTCGCTTTCAATTGGGGGAATAATCAAATTTAGGGATTTCTTGTTTGCTTTCATTTTCTTCTTCTTCATATGAGAACTCAAACGAAGAAGGAGATAATTGAGGAGAAAACAAATTTTGAATCCAAAAACGCTAAACGACGTCGTTTTACTTGAAGAACATGCCACGTCGATATACAAGTGTCAGCTGAGCCAGCAACCGTTACAGTTGACTAACATCTGTTAACATTGACTCGTAATTACGCACTTCATCAAGAGTTAGGTTATTTGAAATTGTTAAGCGTTAATTTAGGTATAAATTAGCACTCATCGTTTGTTCAAGTTGAAAAACGCACTTTTAAAATTGTCTGGGTTGAAAAAAGCTCTTTTCTCGTCTAAACCGTCAAGAATCAAGTTGAGACCGGTTCATACCAAGACAAAAAAAGTTATAAAAAAAAAAGATTGTAGTCTTATTTATGAAACTTTTCATATTTAATCAAGTTACAATCCCATCGAAATTTAAATTCAGGATTCAACCACGGCTTCCTGATCGAAAATTATAGATGAAACTTGACAATCTATAACCATATAATAACTTTGAAATCCAAAACGGTATGGCAGTTAATTTTTTAAGAAGTTCGAAAATGAGCTTAAACGAAATCTGTTATAGATTAATAACCAAACAATATGTGTAGTTCAGGCAAAACGCTAATTTTTTTATTTGAATAACCATAGTATTTTGCTTTCTGGTAAAATGTTACAAGTTTTAACTAATTCTAAAAGTTTGTGTTTTTGTTGGCCAAAAAAGTTAGTTTGGTCTCTCCCTTTCTCCGGTTACAATAGTAACACACATCATTTCCACCATGCATAACAAGTGTAATGCAATGCTTCAGTTGGGCTTTAAGCTTGGATTTTCACTTATTCAGTGCTCGACTAACTAAGGTTTAAATCAAGATTTGGGCTCTGTTTTCTTTTCTTTATGCAGGTTTCCTTTGTTCTTGAACTTTAATCCTCCTAGCATTATCTGCTAGTCCTCTTTCTTATCTTCTCGGTTGTAATAGTTTCGTCTTCCTTCTTTGTATACTTTCTCTTTAAGTTTAAGAAAGCCTTTTAACAAAAAAAAAAAAAAAAAAGTTAGTTTGTATAGTTTAGTGGTGATATTATTTGTTCATTTATGAAAGTTTGTGTAGTTATGACTCTTATCTATTTTTGATGTGGGTTCTGATTTAATGTTACAACTAAAAAAAATTAACAAAAATATCGTATGGTGTAAAATATTTAAGGTGTAAAATATTTAAGGTGTAAAATATTTTTCGAATTGATGAGTCTGTTAGGTTATGTAAATTTTAGCTGATGTTTTTTACAATATGTAATTTGTAAACAATATCCTTGTTTCTTTCTTAGATGAACCTGATAAAAGTTACTTTATTTTTCTTTTGTCAATAATATTAAATTAATTGAATGGCAGAAAACTGTGGAAGCCCCCTTGGCCCATTGGTTGAACAAGGGTTAATTAATGCTTCTACAACCAGAGGTTTGGGGTTCGAGTCTCAGATAATGCGATTTATTAATAAATTTGCAGATTATTGGAGGCAAGTGTGCAGGAGATCTCCAGCTATGTACAATTATAGCCGTTCGCCAGGATTCTACGCATATCGGAAGTGTCCATCAAGAGCATAAAGAAGGAGGTGAAGAAGGTGAAGAAGGTGTCGTCTGTCGTGGATCTAATAAGGGTCGGAAGGAATTGTCCGTTGTAGAATCGTCTATGTAACAGTTCTCATAATTTGCAATAAATAATAAATTCAGACGTTAAAAAAAAAAGAATGGCAGAAAACCAAACAAGGAGAACATTACTTATATAAAAAAAAACGTATTACAATTATATACGAGCATTCTGTGCAAATTTATCCTTTTTAAAAGTAGCTCTACAAGAAACAAAATGATAAAACCCCACAAAAAAAAAAACTTCTTAACTCTTCTCTAATTTTAGAGATTTACTTTCATCATAAATTTCATAATCTTTAATGGGTAATACATTTGTTTTTGCAAAATCAAAAACGAAAAACCATTCCAAAACATGTAGCCATTCAAGGTGACTTCGTTTAGTTATTGATCTAATTAAACACTTACAACATAGTATACATTACAACATAGTCACATACAACAAAACAAATTTTACAATAACACTTTACCTAATTATCGCATATAATCAGTATATTGGAAGGCCCACATATCGTAAGGACTCAGACCCAAAATCAAACAGATAACATTTTTTTTCCTTCACAAAACGTTTTTTTTCATCGTAGGACTTCACAAATTGTACCTCAAGAATTTTTTGGCTGTCTCCATAAGTACATGACAACATAGCTTACGTAACTTATTTTTATTTTTGTGTGTGTTTGTTTGTTTCCCTTCGTCATATAATCACTTTATTCATACTTTATTAAACTGTTACTGTTACTGAGCACAGAGACATATGTCAGTGAGTGAAAGAGAGAAAGTCCCCCGCTTTCTAAGGCAACTTTGCCTCAACAAACTTTCTTCTTTTACCCTACACATTTACACGCATGCATACATTTTTTGTAACTATGACGTAACCAAATCGTTTATTCAACTTTTGTTTTATATTATTTTATTACACTCTCCTCAAGTTACTTCTTTTTCAAACATATATCAAGGTTTCTTATCCATTTATACATCTGAAATTCTGAATTTATTACTTAAAAAATAAATAAATAAAAGCATATTTTGTTTGTCAGAGTTAACAACAGTCTTGAAACTTGAATATTCAGATATCATGTAAAGTAAAATAGTTCTATTATATTTCACATTAACAGAAACTAATAGTTTCTATTAAAACCGTTACAGTTATTCGGGAGCAAGTTCCTAGTAAAATAACTCTAAGATATATCTTCAACTTTGAGAAAGTTTTTTTTTTTTTTTTGTTAAAAACTTTGAGAAAGTTCATAGTAGATTGTAGAATAACTATAAGAAAAATCTTTAACAAATAGATAGTATTATAAATGACTATATCGACGCATTACTATATCACATGTCTTTAATTATAGTCGTGTGCATTATTGAAGAAAAAAAAAAAAAAAAAAAGTCGTGTGCATTATTATTACGTACCACTACCAACTCACAAAAAGTGGAGTACCAGCCATCAATGTTTACGCATGAAGTAGCCCAATAAAATCTGAACTTAGAACGCTTTTGTACATTCTCTTCTCTCCATGGACGATTGCATACTCGGGGAGGGGGAGAGACACGTGTTGGAGGAGTAGAACACGTGCGAAAATATGATCATCATGTACCGATCGATCTCATTTGTGTTCGCACGTGCCCTGCTTCTCCATCAAGTGTTACTCACCCATTACATATCTCTTGCATCATCAAACTGCATATAATCTCCATGACCATGCATATATTTTATACATAGAGAGTGAGAGAGAGAGAGGAAGATTTGTATGTGTGTGTAGAAGAAGAAGAGAGTTAAGAATTAAAATATACAACTTAGAGTGAGGAGGCAAGAACTTCTGCTTGCTCATTCACGTACATTTATAGTGGGTTTCAAGTGTTTGATAAAATGAGGCAAAAGTCTTAGTATTAAAAATAAATCACGAAAATACAAAAAGTATTAGCTTGAAGATAGATGGGAGTGGAATTAAAGTGATTGAGTCTTGAAGTGGGATTTCTTTAAATGTAGATAAGAAGTAAAATGGCAATCATATCACACCAAGTCTTTCCATTACTTTAAATGATTCTTTTAAAAATAATTATTTTTTCAGAAATGTAGTAGACACAAGACGCATGTGTACATAGCTAGACCTCGCAGTTAATGATATAATTTATATATTTCGCATTATTTCCAACCCTCCCGACGTAATTTGATTATAGAAATAGTGAAATAGACCAACTAATTTTGGTTGGTAGATAATTAAAAATTGATTATGCATAAAGATACAGAATTGACCTTTGACCAGGACAGGGGGATCAGATAATTAATTTACAATTGGACAATATTAAAATTGGGTAGCTTGTAAGAATAGTAATAATATTTTAAAACATTCCATATAAATAATGAAATAGTTTACTACGCAATGTATATGTAATAGAGACAGACAGTAAAGATTGGTGATGAGTTTGAGTCAGTTTATGTCTACTTCCTGCCGCCGAATCCAATTTCAAGTTTCACTATTTTATCCCAATTTTTACTTCATTCTGATGTCACCATATGTAAAAATATAAATGTGCTAACAGAAAATTAAACATATTTTATCAACCAAGTGTTTAAGAACGTTTTTGCGCATTAATTTTACCATCATTTGTGTATCATGGATTTTCAAAATTCCATATACATATATGCTTGGTCACCAAAACGAAGAAGCTACAAAATGCGGTGCCTCTTTTACATAT